GTATCGGCTTCTGCATGGCACTGCCCCCCACGTGGAAGTACTGAACTTCAGGCGCCGCGGCAACACGCACGCTCCTCGGAGTCGGTGCTGGCGTGCCCGAAGTTCCCGCGGGGAGGGAGTTCGTGCCCGAAGCTACCCCCTCTGCTGGGGAGGCCGCCTTCGCCTGGGTTCCAGCACCTTGGCCCACGCCCTTGACACCAGCTGCTGCGAGCGCTGAGGCTCACACGACGTACGTACCCTCGGTGAGGTTCAAGAAATAATGAGCTCGGTGGGAGGGGCACGGGCCGCCGAGCGGGGATGTCTGGTCGGTCGCAGAGGCCTCGTGCACCCAAGCTCTCGAAATGAGCCCCCTCCTCCTCCCCCTCTTCCTCCTCCTCCTGCTCCTCCTCCTCCTCCTCCCCTTCTTCCCCATCATCCTCCTCCCCTCCTCCTCCTCCTCCTCCTCCTCCTCCTCCTAATCATTTCCTTACTCCTCCCCCTCCTCCTCCCCTCCTCCTCCTCCTCCTCCTCCTCCTCCTCCTCCTCGGAGTCCAGACCTCCGTCCATTCTGTGCGAGAATCATGACCTCGGGGGTCGGGTGCCTCGCTTTCGTCGTTTCGAGCCTCCTGCAAGGCCCTCGTCGCCACGGCCGGGTTCGCCTCTGAAATCGAATCAGAACGCAGCAGCAGCTGTATTGATACCTTGTTGTCCCAAGGGGGGGGGACGGAGCAGGAGGATGGGAAGGAGCGAGGAGGAGGAAAACGGAGGGGGAGGGAGAGGAGGAGGAATGACGAGGAGAGGGAGGGGAATGACGAGGAGGAGGACGAGGAGGACGAGGAGGAGGAGGACGAGGAGGACAAGGAGGACGAAGAAGGAGCAGGACGAGTGACGGAGGATGACGAGCAGGGGCGAGGAGGCGGCGGCGGAGGATTCTCCCTTACTTCGACCCATTCCTCCCCTCCTGACCTTCTGAGAGTTAGCGTGATCTTGCGCCAGCCAAGGGAGGCGGAGGAGGAGGAGGTCCAGAGTCCCCAGGGGGTGTCGAGGTCATTGCACGATCTGTCACCAGGCGGGGGTCATCAAGAAAAGGATAGAGGAAAGACCACTGGGAGGGGAATCAAGGACATCAAGGAATCCGAGCAGGGAAATCAAGGACATGATGGATGAAAGACCACCGGGAGGGGAATGGGGACGGCCTTCGCCCCCTGCCTCCTCTTTCTCCTCGTCTTCCTATTCTTCTTCGTCCTCTTTATCCTCCTCTTCCTCCTCCTCCTCCAATTTCCCCTCTTCTTCCTCCTATTATTCTTCCTTCTCCTCCTCCTCCTCCTCCTCCTCCTTCTTCCTCCCTTTTCCCCGGGCCCAGCGAGGGGAGGGGGCTGTAGCCCTTGAGCCCTGTAGCCCTAGAGCCGCATAGCCCTATAGCCCCCAAACCCTGTAGCCCGATAGCCCAGTAGCCCTGTAATCCGATAGGCCCGTAGCCCCATAGCCCCCCATTGCCCTATAGCCCTATAGCCCTATAGCCCCATAGCCCCATAGCCCCATAGCCCCATAGCCCCATAGCCCCATAGCCCCATAGCCCCATAGCCCCATAGCCCCATAGACCTATAGCCCTATAAAAATATGGCCCCATGGCCCTATATGTTCATAGCCCTATAGCCCTATAACCCTATAGCCCATAAACCTATAGCCCCGTAGCCCTATAGCTCTATGGCCCTATGGCCGCCCTATAGCTGGCTTTGAGCAGCTTTAGAGCCGCCCTATAAGCGCCCTGCAACCCCATAGCCCTATAGCCCTATAGCCCTGTAGCCCCATAACCCCATAGCCCCATAGCCCTACACCCCTATAATCCTATAGCCATTAGGCGACACAAGCCCGACGACCCAATTTGCAGAATTCGTCTTATCGGCAACGGCGTGCGCTCACTGTAGGCATTTTGGCCCAAATCGCTAAAAAGACGAGGCCAGACCAGAATCAGCTGAACTCTCCAGGGGCCATTGCCACTTTGAAAATATCGTCTCGTTTTCACGAGTTTTCAGTACTGTACTGTCCTGAGCGATGGGCGGCGTGGATGTATCTGCTGGCGGTGTCTCCCATGTGGGAGGTGCCCTTGGAGTCCCCGCAAAGGGGTCCCAAGCACGGCGGCGACGACAATTGCATGACCCGCAACCGGTGGAACCAAAGATCTGGGCTTGGAAGGAACCGTTCTCCTCCAGGGGGTGAGCGTTCACTAAGCCCAGCGGGAACGCAAGCGTATCCACCTCTCATGGTGGATATACAGCGCTTGGTCGATGGGAGATTGAATGCAAAACAATGTCCGGAGATCACCCGTCATGTGACGACACGCGCATCAACATTGGGAACCACAACTCAAAATTTACACAATAAGAACCGCTCGATTCACTCTTATTGCAAGGATGTCATAAGCGAGATGGATCAAACACCGCCTGGAGAACCTCCACTAAAAAATGGGCTAGGCAAATCGCCGATACATTTCGAGAAACCGTTTTAAGACACGACCCGCGTGAATGAAACGATCTTGACGACTACCAACATCGACCAACACACTTCGGTCTGTGATACCAAGGCTTTTGTCCACAAAGATATGACCAAGTTGCAGAAACAATTCAACCTTTTAGTGTAAGAGGCGCACATGCTCAATTTCATACTGATGACGAAACGGTCAAATTTCGTTGAATGCTGCTGGAGTCTTAACGATGAGCAGAAAACAGTATGGCCAAACTGGGATTTTGATAAGGATGAAGACCATACATCACTTGCAGGCATGAGCAGGGATGAGTTCGAGCTCCAGGTGACAACCATATACAAGCAAGTTGTTGACAAAGCAGCGGCAGCGGAGGACGCTGAAGGAAAAACTCATCAAAACGAGCTTACTAACAACAATAAGTTGTTGATTGAGAAACTCGTTGAGCAGACTCCTCAATATTATGCTGAGATGACAATTGATCAACGAGTGGATGAACATCTACGCAGTCTTGGAAGGGGTGCTCGGAAGAAGAATCCGATCCAGGCCTTGACAACAAAAGCAGACGTGGACGTGGACCCCGCAGAGATCATGAATCGCGTCGGCACCGAGGGCATGGTGAGCGAAGAATTAGTGGAAAGTACGCTTCAACCATACAATGGCGATCCCCTGTGGCGGCGGGGTCAAAAGGCACAGCAAAGGGCAAAGGGCAAGGCCAAGAGTGACGGCAAGGGCAAGACAAAAGGCAAGAGCTACGATGGCAAGGGCCCGAAAGTGAAGAAAGCAAGACCGACGCCCGGTGCTGTTACGGCAAGAGTTGTGGCAAAAGCGACGCCCAGCGCCGTCCCGACAAGGGCGGTGGCAAGGCGATTACGCCCAACTCTGAAAGGTGGCAAAAGAGAAATAGAGGATCACATTCTGGGGTACCAGGATACGGCAAGGGCAAGGCCAAACAGCGGAAATGCCATTATGGAAAATGGTGAAAGGGATGAGCACATCAGATTTCAAAGTACTTCTGAAATGCGGCAAAGCGAGCCCACATGTATACATGGTGGACGTGGTCAACTTAACGGCTCACCGCCCAGCAGCGGGTGTATTATTACGGCCTGTTGAATTCTTACTTACCCTACACAGACAACGAGCCTTGCGAACACGCAGGCAAGGCTCCAGACCTTGCCCGTATCGCCGTCAAACGTGGAAGTTGTTTTATGCAGGGGGCGACACCAAGCATTGGTGGCACCTGAGAGCGCAAACACGCATCACTCCTGCATGCCCTCAGTGTTCTTCCCTCAGGTGCAGGCTCATCTTCAATTTATCACCAATGGCATATGGCAAACGCGCCGAGTAAAAAAGACGTTTTTTCGACTTCAAATGTTCCTGACATTCACTGGCTAGCGCTCGACAGCTTGAAGTTCGGCACGGGTGGTATTCTCCCCATAGACGAGATGGAGGCAATTTCTTGGTGGCAAAACAGCATATCTTGGAGGTACGTCGCAAGATGTTGGGAGGTCCTAACTGCCGGGAGGTAGATAGCACCAACAAGTGTTCGATGACTTGAAGAAGGAAGCGTGGTGGAAGAGGGTAGAGTAGTGAACGACCTTTCACATTGCCATTCAGTTTTGAATTGGGCTCGCAATTGATACATATGGGTGCAGAAAAGAATTATCTTCTTTGAAGAACACGGTCAAGACTCACAAGGGTACCGGTCACGTACGATTGCGTCCACTTCACGCGAGCACGGGGAATCCAACAACTGGCGCCATAGTTCACGTGTTTTCTATGCTGAAGCCAAACTTGAGGCAACGTACACATATACTGCGTGACACTCACGATCTACTCAAACAGCTGGGCCAAATTGAAGTGGACGCGGACGATGTGTTCGTACGTTTTGGCATACAATACTCTTCATGAATGGATCACACCAGGAACTGACTGATGAGTCCAACAAGCTACCTGATTACCCGAGGCACAGCTGCTTCCCAGACCTCTCCCAAGTTCTGACCAGACTTCGGAGGCGAATCTGGCCGTGTCAACAGGCTGGGGGCCATGCAGGAGGCTCGACAAGACAAAGACGAGACACCCTACCCCCGGCGTCATGATTCTTTCGCAGAGTGGACGGAGGTCTGGACCCCGAGGAGGAGGAGAAGGAGGAGGAGGAGAGGAGGAAGAAGAGGAAGAGGAAGGGGAGAAGGAGGAGGAAGGGGAGGAGGAGGAAGAGGAGGAGGAGGAGGTGTTTCTCATCCCGACGTTCTCTGACGCTGCCTGGGCCAGACGAGAGCCCCCGGAGCACGAAAACGCTCGAACACTCGCCGTCGCGGCTCTTCAGAACGCCGAGGGGGCCCGGGTCCCCTGCTCCTCCCCGGAGGGGCAGCGAGAAGGGGAAACATCGGCACGGCGTCGGCGATATGTCGCCGATGCATCGGCGGCAGGTTCCCGATGGCAGGCACGCACAGTTCTGGGCGGGCTCGGGCCATCGGGTCCCACATCGGCGATGAGTGGGCGACTGGGACCCCCGCGCAGGGAGGCCAGAAGCGCGCGCCTCCGCGTCGAGGTCGTCGCCGCACGAGCACACCACCAGGCTGCCGGCGCTGGGGTCCGCCCCGCAGAGCTGCGCGGCGGGGGGGGGCGTCAGGGCACCAAGGCGAGGGCATGGGAGGTCGCCGCCGTCCGGGCCAGGGCGAGGGGGAGGGCGGGGGAGGGGTAAGACGAAGCCAGGACGAGGACAGCTCGGCGGCGAGCGAGGGGGGGAAGTGAGGAGGAGGCGGAGGGGCGTCTTTCCCAAACCAAACGGGTCTTCCCAAACCAAACTTGGGCTTGGGTGACGTAGGCTTTGGTTTGGGAAGACCGGTGTGGTTTGGGAAGACCCGGTTCGTTTGGAAGACCCGGATGTTGGTTTGGGAAGACCCGGTTGGTTTGAGAAGACCTGGTTGGTTTGGGAAAACCCGGTTGGTTTGGGAAGACTCGGGCGCGTGGTTTGGGAAGACCCGGTTGGTTTGGGAAGACCCGGTTCGTTTGGGAAGACCCAGGGAAATTGTTCGGGAAGACCCGGTTGGTGTGGGACGACGCGGAGGTTGGTTTGGGAAGACCCGGTTGGTTTGGGAAAACCCGGGTTTGGTTTGGGAAGACCCGTTTGGTTTGGGAAGACCCGGTTGGTTCGGGAAGACCCGGAGGTCGGTTTGGGAAGACCTGGCTGGTTTGGACCCGTTTGGTTTGGGAAGTCCCGGGGAGTTGGTTTGGGAAGACCCGGAGGTTGGTTCGGGAAGACCCGGATGTTGGTTTGGGAAGACCCGGTTGGTTTGGGGGGAAGACCCGGGGAGTTGGTGTGGGAAGGCCCGGTTGGTTTGGGAAGACCCGGACGTTGTGGTTTGGGAAGACCCGGTTTGTTTGGGAAGGCCTGTGTGAGGTTTGGGAAGGCCCAGGGCTGTGGTTTGGGAAGACGCGGTTGGTTTGGGAAGACCTGGCCGTTCGGTTTGGGAAGACCCTGTTGGTTTGGGAAAACCCGAGTTTGGGTTGGGAAGACCCGTGCCTCGTGGTTCGGGAAGGCCCAGTCGGTTTGGGAAGGCCCGCTTTGTTTGGGAAGACCCGGCCGTTGTGGTTTGGGAATGCCCGTTTGGTTGGGATGACCTGGTTGGGTAGGACAGACCCGGGGTCGTGGTTCGAAATGACCTGGGGGTGTGGGAATACGTCGGCACTTGGTTCGGGCAGACCCGCTTGGGCAGGGAAGAGGAGGGTGAGGAGGAGGAGGAGAAGGAGGAAATGCAGGAGGATGGAGAGGAGGACGAAGAAGAGGAAGGAGGATGGAGAGGAGGAGGAGGAGGAGGACGAGGAGGATGGAGAGGAGGAGGAGGAGGAGGACGAGGAGAAGGAGGACGAGGAAAAGGAGGAGGAGGAGGAGGAGGAAGAGGAAGAAGGAGAGGAGAAGGGGGAGGAGGACGAGGAGGAGGCCTCTACGCTGACCCCATCTAGGAGCCCTGGACCCCTGGAGCCTGGACCTCGGGAAGCGGCGGATGGGGATGCACTGCAATCGGTCCTGCCAGGGGCCCGGATATGTCCACAGTCGCCCCTCCCCCTGGGGGTATGGGAAGCGCGGTCTGGAACGGAACGCTTGCCTGGCGAGCGACTCTGAACATGACGGGTTCGACTATGATTGAGGAGGAGGACGAGGAGGACGGGGTTGGTCTGATTCCGCAACATTTGGTTTGCGAAGACCCGTTTGGTTTGGGAAAACCCTGGCCCCGAGGAGGAGGCCTTCTCAGCAGGCGGCGACACTTCTCATAAGGCCTTCTGAAAGGTTTTCTGTGTCTTCGGGGAAGGCCTAGAAAACTGTTCAGAGAACCTGGGAACTTCCGAGCCTTCTGAGAAGTCCCGCCAATTCTCACTTCCCCTCTGGGCTCGCCGCCGAATAGACCCGGGTGAGGATGCATCGAGAATCTCTGAGATCTGGCGGCTCGGGAAGACGTCTCGGGCGCCGCGGCCTCATCGGAGCGTTCCTGAACGCTCCGGCACGGATTTACCCTCGTCCTACTTGGCCTGGTCCGAGAGGAGGAGGCCGTCGTCGTCCGGGCCAGGGCGGGGGGGAGAGGGGGCCACGGTTAGGTCGGGCGTGTCCTCCTACAGGCGGATTCTGGGCGAAACATAAAAAATAGGCAAACAATCTGCAAAAAATTACCCAAAATATTGAAACATCGTCCCTGCACTATTTTTGGACCCTTTTTGGATAATCCTCCTGTAAACGGGCAGGCCCGACTTACGGCCAGGGCGAGGGCGGGTATGCGTCTGGGCCAGGGCGAGGGGAGGAGGTCGTCGTCGTCCGGGCCAGGGCGAGGGAGAGCACGGGGGAGGGGGCCAGGGCGAGCTAGGTGCGCTCGCGTCATGTCTGACGTCCTACTCCCCTCCCTCCCATCCCTTACCACGGCGTAGATCTCCTCTCTACTCGCACAGTCGGATGTCGTAGCATGGCATGGCAGGCGGGGGTCGGGAATCTGCTGACCCGGATCAATCCAGGACCCGGGTCAGCCAGGCCCTGCAGGATCTGGCCAAATCCTGCAGGATCCTGCACCCAAGCCCCTTGGTCGGTGCGCCCCTGGCCCTGCAAGATCCTGCAAAATCCAGCGCTCTGGTTGACCCCCGTCTGAAGACATTTTTTTTGATATCGGCGATAACCCGGGTTATCCCGGGGGGGGGGGTGAGGAGAGAGAGCCAGCCGATAACCTAACCCTCGCGCTGTGGGCAGCCCTGCATATGCCCGCGCCCCCCCCTTTCCCGCGGACCTGCACAACCGGCAAGGTTAGGTTACCCTGGGGGAGGGAGGAGGGGCGGCAAGCCCGATAACCCGGCTTCTGGCCCGACCCTAAAAACCACAGCCTCCTGCATCGACCCCCGTCTCTTGAGCCCCGGGGGGGGGGGGGGGAGGGGGCGTCCGGGCCAGGGCGAGGGCGAGGAGCGGAAGGGAGGCTCATCGCCCGCCTGGGCGTCAGCCAACACGCCCTGGCAGGGCCTCCTTCGCCTGCCTGCCCGGCCCGGCTCCCAGCAGCCCAGGCGCAGCCGAACAGGCCAGCCGCGGGCAGCGAGCAGCGGAGGGCGAGGGTGGGCGTCGTCGTTGTCGTCGTCGTCGTCGTTGTGGTCGTGGTCGTGGTCGTCGTCGAACGGTGGCATACGCAGGAAGCTGTGCTCGACTGATACGACATGCCCGCGGGCGAGCACCCCAGACGCAGGCAAAGTAGTCCCAACATGTCTTTAATCCACACACTTATGATAATGGAACCTACTCATTCTTTGCGCAGGGATTCTTAGAATTCCCCACGACTTCTAAAGATTCCTTCAATATCGGATTCCTGTGAATCCCTGGGAATCCCTGGCGCGATTCCTAGGAATTACTAAATATTCGTGAGACCAAGGACTCCCTGAGGATTCCTACGGGTGCCTAGGGATTCGTGGGATTCTTCAGGATTCCCTTCGGATTTGTAAGGATTCCTTGGATCCCCGTAGGATTGGACATGTACTCGATTGGCGAGATAACGAATTATCTTGCAATCCCTTTACAACCAAACTCACAAATCTTCTGTCACGCAGAACATGAGCAGACCAAATCCGCGCGGAGAAAGAACCACCCAACAACAATCTACAAGCGATCAATAGTGAAACGTTAAATCCGCTGGCTGTAAATCCGATCAAGCTCACCACGACTGTGGCGAGCTTTTTCTGCGCACGATAAGCTGCGCGACGCCCAAGCGAAGACGACGACAACGATCGCGACGACGACGACACAGGGATGTAACGAATTGTCTTGCAATCCTTGCATCAACAAGCTCAACATTCCTCGGTCGTGCACGGTAGACCAGCGAGCACACTTCGCCAGGATAAATAACCACCCAACAAGAACCCACTGGCAAACACTTGTGCGAGAACAGTCCGTGGCGCCCGCAAGCGCCTACAGAGGGAAACTCCTCGATCACCACTTCTAGAGGAGGGGGGGCGAGGAGGGGGCGAGGAGGGGAAGGACGAGGAGAGGGAAGACGAGGGGGAGGGCGAAAACGGGTGCACGAGGAGGAGGGCGAGGAGGGAGAGCGAGAGGGGAGGGCAAAAAGGGGAGCACGGGGAGGAGGGCGAGGAGGGAGAGCGAGGGGGAGGGCAAAAAGGGGAGCACGAGGAGGTTGGCGAGCAGGGAGAGCGAGGGCGACGAGGAGGGGAAGAGCGAGGACAGGGACGACGAGGGGGAGGGGCGAGGAGGGGAGCACCAGGAGGAGGGCGAGGAAGAGGACGAGGAGGAGTGGCGAGGAGGGCGAGCGAGGAGAGGGGAGCGCGAGGGGGGGGGGCGAGGAGCGAGGCACGAGGGGGGCGAGGAGGGAGAGCGAGGAGGGCGAGGAGGGGAGGGACGAGGAGAAAGAGGACGACGGGGAGGGCGAGGAGGGGACCACGAGGAGGAGGAGGAGGAGGAGGAGGAGGAGGAGGAGGAGGAGGAGGAGGAGGAGGAAGAAGAAGAGGAGGGAGAGCAAGGAGGACCGCGAGGGCGGGAGGGACGAGGAGGGCGAAGACGAGTTGGAAAGCCCGCCGAAAGTTCAGGGGGGGCATCATTCAAGCCCCCTCTGCGGTTGAAAAGAAAAGCGAAGGAGGCACGAAGGCCCGACAGGGCGTGCGCTAACCCAAGCCGAGGGGAGGACGGTTTCCTCACAGGCTGCGATCACGAGGCCTGGAGCTCCAGCAGCGGAGCGGATCGTTTCCAAAATGTGGCCGTCGCATTCGCGCTGCCAGCTTTGAACGCACAATCGGAGGGCATATCGGATGAGGGCATATCGTTTTCAATATATGGGGCTGTCGCTTGAAACGTTCAAACTTCTGACGCCTAACAAAGAACATGCCGCAGTCGCAAGGACGAAGGGCAACTCATGTTCACATAGAGGCTCTCGCCCGGTACGTCGCACGTCTTGTTTACTTTGCCTGGAACTTCTTGTTTACTCCTTGTGTGCGCTATGCTGAATAACCGCAAGCAGACGATAATAATCCTTGTGGGATGATGAAGTTCGGGAGTCCGGGGGGGACGATTAACGATTTTCCCGGGGAAATGATGTTAGCTAGGTTATGATGATGACGATGACGATGACGATGCTGATGCTGATGTTTATGACCCTGGGCGCTCGTGTAAACTGACCTTGTAGATCTTGGCGCAAGACTGACTCGAGAGGTCTCGAGACTCGTGGCTACAACTTGCCTGCGCCAGAGAGGTCCTTGGCGCTTGCTGGGAACGGCTGAGAAAGTGAGAATCCAGGCCGCACGTTCCTGGCCCTGCCACACGTTCCTGGCGCGGGAACGTCTGAGAAAGTGAGAATCCCATAGCTTTGCCGCACGTTCGTGACTTGGGCAAACCGAAATGGTGAGAATCCCATAACCCTGCCACACGCTCTTGATTGCGGAAGCTGATATGGTGAGACCACAACGGCCATGCTCAGCGTTTTTGATGATGTTGCTAGTCAACATAAGATGATAACAACTTCGATTCGCAACTTCCCCCGTGAATTATCGAGTTCGGCCTCCGCGCCCCTCTCCACAATTAAATCCTATTGACACGGGATCGGGTACGCCTTATTACTGTGGACAGTGGGTTAACTCGAAGATGGGAAGGCGATTCACTTTCAACCTGGGGCTCTCGACTGGGTGACAGGCCCGCGGGGCGCATGTCTTTCAAGCATGCGATTCCCGTAGCGAAGAGGTGCACCCGCATGGACGCGAGACGAGGGGACTTGGACCGGGAGGGTGCGCTGCAGCACCGTGGCTGGGCAGCTGCTGAGAAGTCTTGTAGGCCTCAAGAGAGGCTCCCGAGATGGCCCCGGATACTCCCGGGAGGGGAGCGGCGATTGGCAGCCTCCTCGGGAGCGCGCGCGGGAGCGCGCGGCGGGGGGCAGCGGGGGGGGCCCTTGCAGAGGCCACTTCCCCCTGCCGGCGGGTCGATGGTAATACTGATACTGGCGCTGATGTTGATTATGGTGCTGTGGATGACGATGATGCTTGCTGTGTGAGTGACGGTGGACATGACCATGATGGTGGTGACGATGACGATGACGATGACGATAACGATGACGATGATGATGACGACGATGATGGTGATGATGATGATGATGATGATGATGATGATGATGATGATGATGATGATGATGATGATGATGATGATGCTGATGCTGATGCTGATGCTGATGCTGATGCTGATGATGATGACGACGAAGCTGGTGCTGGTGCTGATGCTGGTGCTAGTGATGATGATGATGACCACGATGACGGTGCTGGTGCTGGTGCTGGTGCTGGTGCTGCTGATGGTGGTCATGATGATGCTGATGATGATGATGATGAAGAAGATGACGGTGAAGATGAAGATGAAGATGATGATTATGGTGCTGCTGCTGCTGAAAAGATTATGATGATGCTGATGCTGATGATGATGATGATGCTGCTGCTGATGATGATGGTGATGATGATGGCTCGTGCGGAGGCCGCTTCCCCCACACCCAGCGGGAGGAGGGGCGCCGCCTGGTCGAAGTGCCCCTCTGGGAGCAGCCCGCGCACGAAGCTGGGGAACAGGTCCCTGCGGGGCTGGCCCGCATCGCGCGGGCACGCGAGCGGCGTCATCGTCATTGTCATCGTCATCATCAGCGAAGAGGCACGAGAGAATGAGGAAGGACTCGGTGTGCGAGGCACGACTGTGATGAAAGACGGCGGGTAAGCAGCACCGAATGATAGTCGTCAGCTCGAGCAAGAGGTGCACCAGCACAGGTGCGGACACGGAGCAGAGGACCATCGGGCGGAAGGGACGTGCAAGACTCCCAACACCCCGTCCTGATCCCCATCCCTCTCCGCCAGCTCTTTTCCCTTGTCCTCCTGGCTCCCCATCACCCCTCCCCTCCGGTCCCCTCGCCTCCATTTCCCGTCCCAATCCCATCCCCCTCTTACCTCCTCCTGCCCCCTTCTACCTCCTCCTACTCCCTCATGCCTCCTCCTCCTCTTCCTCCCTCACTCTCTCCCTCTTCGCCCTCCTCTCCTGGACTCCCTTCCCCTCATCCCCTCGCTGATCCCTCATCCTCTACTCTCGATCCTCCCTTCTCCCGTCCCCCTCCTACCCGCCCACTCGTCCCCTATGCGCCTCGTTCTCCCCCTCCCCCTTCATCCCTCCCGACCCCCTTGGCGGGGCCTGGGGGCGAAGAGGAACGGGCTGGCAGTGTCCACCACGAAGCGCGCTCTCATCTGGCGCATGCCCGCGGGACCAGGGGAAGGGAAGTGGCGGGAGAGAGCGCGAGGGGAGAGGAAGGAGGGAGGGGGACGGCGGTGATGAAGAGGAGGGGGGCATGGGGAGGAGGAGGAGGACGACGAGGAGGGAGGAGGGAGGAGGGAGAACGGGGGGAAATGGATTACGTAGGGGAAGGAGGCGGAGAAGGGGAAGAAGGTGGGAGGAGGGGGGCGGATGAGGAGGAGGGCCAGGGTAAACCCAACATGTACCAACGCCCTAGCGCCCTAAGCCTCCTCAAAAGACAATACAAGCCTCCCCGTCACTGCAAACAAGCCACCTTGAAAGACGACCACCCTGTGGGCCTCAGGGCCTTTTCTAGCGAGTCGCAAATAGAGCGACAACATATGATCATACAATTTAGCGAAATGTCCAGTGCGAACCTTCTGCTCTCAAGGAACCGCCCCCCATCCGCGCAACTGTTGTAACTAATTACATTTCTGGTCATTAACGACACCGAGAACCATGCGATCAACATATTTTGAAAAACACTCGCCCACCATCCGCACAACAATTACACATGTTCAGAACTCGTGCCGTGCATGTCCCGAAATGACAAACGAGAACACCATTTCGAAAAAAGACCACCATCCATCCGTGTAGATGATGCTCAATGGCACCCGCACCCAGTGGTGACTTTTGTTTAAGAAACCTCCGACGACAACCGACCATATTAAACATCGAGCAGACATTCACCCGTGCTCAATGTTAAGACACATGTGCACGACGCTAGAGTGAGAACCCATTTTGAAAAGGACCCACCCTCCATCCGTGTAACAATTGAAAACGTTTGAAACGAATGTGCACGACGCTGAGGTGACAATCTGGTGACAATCCCAATTTGAAAAGAACCCGACCTCCGTCTGTGTAGATGTCGTAAACTGCTAAGACGAAGGTGCGCGGCACTAAACCGAGAACACAACTTGAAAACGATCCGCCCACCATCCGTGTAATCGCTGCAAGCTTTTGAGACGAAATCTGAAAATAGCACCCCATCCATCCATGTAACTTCTGGGACTTTCAGACCTGGCCAAGGTAATAGATCACGGCCTGCCTGTGGCAGAGGCCCGTCTTCCGAGTGCAGCGGGCCGCAAGAGTTTGCGACACTGGCGGTCGAGCACGATGTCATTGTTTGTTACATGGGCGCCAAAGCGGGAAAGCCAGAACGACTTAGCCGACCCGTCTGTAGTTTGCTTTTTGCTCCAAATAGCACCTGCACTCAAGAGCTCGTACTTCGCTTCGTTAGCACTTGGATGGCTGGGCTGGTGGTTCGCCTCGTGGGCGCCCGTGAGCGCCTCGTGAGCGCCACGTGTTCTACGACCACGACTACCACCAATACACCTAACCTGTGTATAATTTGGCTGTTCTACTGCTACGACTACCAACAATACTACCGCCACCATCTGTAGTTTACTCAAATAAGATGGGTATACCCGTCTTGAAAGCCGCACGGCCCGTACTGTGCACGGCATTGCAGCGGGCTCTCGCCAAGGCAACCTCACGGCAGTTGGACGAACAGCCCGCCGCGCCCGCGCGCGCACGCCGGAGATGCCGGACGCCGCGGTCCAGGGCGGGCTCGTGAGGCACATCTCGAGGAGGGGATACCAGGGAGAGAGGAGGGAGGATGATGCCCTCGAATCTCCCGAGACCAGGGAGGAGGGGAGAGGAGGGAGGAGGAGATACCAGGGAAAAGGAGGATATCAGGGAGGGAGGAGGAGGGCCTGGGGCCCCGTGCGGAATCGGTCTGCCGTCTCAGGTCCCTGGGGACCCGACGTTCTGGGGCCGCGTGGGTAACCCTGCTGGCGCGGACTGGTTCTCCAGTCTGCGTCGGCCTACGTGGTACCAACCTGTGCGGGGGCTGGCTCTGGCCACTGTTGGGGCCCGCCCCTGACGTCGGGGTGTCGGGTGTGGCCAGAGGGGTCGACTCTCATGGAGAGTACGGCTCAAGACGTGTACCGCCTGGCCCCCCTCGGGCAAGGGGGCCTGTGGGGGCAGGCCAGGTTACCCGCGCACGGTAACACGCGCCGTGTGCCCCGCATGGTGACGTGGGGTAACCTGTGTCCCCTGGCGCTGGTAGAATTGGGGAGGCGTGGGGGCCGCCCGCCATCGGCGGGTTGGTGGAGCTCCTGGTGCTCCACGTGGTGAGCCTGGCGCCTCTTCTTTGAAGGTCGCTGGGGGGGCAGCGTTGTTTCCAGGGCCAGATCCCCGTACGCTCGGCGGGCGCGCTTGATCGGTCAACACCAATCCTTACAGCCGCCCTTCGCGAGAAGCTCTCATTTCAGGTTTACTCTTGCCGACGATTGGGCTGCTCATGCTTGCTCTTGCCCTACAAAAGCATTGCCCGCTCCCCCGTCGCCCCAGAAACACAGATCGCGTTCGCTGCCCCTCAGCGAGCTTCAACCTCTTCTTTTTCTTTTCTTCTCTCTTCTTTTTTTTTGTTTTCTCTCTCTCTCTCTCGGGCCCCGCCAGGAGTTTGCGGCCCCTAGCTCTCCAGGGCGTCGAGGGCCGGCGGGTCTGCCCCGCCCCACGACGGCAGTGCCCATCGCGCTCCCGTGCAGGTTCCGCATCGATCCTGCGGTGCCCCATCGGTGCGTCGTCCGCGGGGCGTGGCTCGTGGCGGCTGCAAGGTGCGCCCCCAGCGGCGTCGTTCCTCGAAGTCCGAGGTGCTGTAGACTCTTTAGCGCCCCAGGTTGTGCCCGTGAGGAGTAGGAGGAGGAGGAGGAGGAGGAGGCAGGAGGAGGAGGCAGGAGGAGGAGGAGGAGGAGGAGGAGGAGGAGGAGGAGGAGGAGGAGGAGGAGGAGGAGGAGGCAGGAGGAGGTCTCGAGAGGGAGGGGGAGGGCAAAATCGGACGGGGAGGACTCGGAGAGCTCTGAGACCAGGTGACCTGGCGGGTCTGCAGGATGCATCGGGCGCCGCGGCTGCTCCGGAGCGCTCCAGAACGCGCTGAGAGCGCGTCTGGACTCGGACTCGGACTCGGCTACGCGCGTCTGGCGCCCCGAGTCCGCGGCGGAGGGGCGCCGAAGCGCCCGCATGGAAGAAATCGGAAAAGCAGCATTCACGTGTGATAATTACGCATGAGAGGCGTCAGAGGAGGAGGAGGAGGAGGAGGAGGAGGAGGAGAAAGAGGAGGAGAAAGAGGAGGAGGAGGAGGAGGAGGAGGAGGAGGAGGAGGAGGAGGAGGAGGAGGAGGAGGGGGAGGAGGAGGAAGAGAAGGAGGAAGAGGAGGAGGCGGGGGAGGAGGAGCAGGAGGAGGAGAGGGATGAGGATGAGGATGAGGATGAGGATCAGGAGGAGGATGAGGAGGAGGAGAAGGAAGCCGCGCGATCTGGAACGCTCTGGAACGAGTTGTCCCGATCTTGGCCCCGCCCGACCGGCCCCGCCGCCCAGGCGCGCGGAGGGCACGTCAGAAGTGGGCCGGCTTTCGTGTGCCCACTGCCAGCTCACCCGAGTGGGGCCAGGCCTGGCGACCCACAGGCAGCCAGCCTCGAACTCATCCCTCACTAAGAGCGACCAGCCCGAAAGGGGATGCCCCTCAGGCCTCCAGAGGCCGAAAGAGCCCTCGAGCGAGCCAGGAGAAGGGGGATAGCAAAGGAGGGGTCAGCGAATCAGCTCGTGCAGCTGGCTCTGCCAGCACCTCCCAGCGCCATGCATCGAGGAATGGCACCCGGCGGCGGGGCGGAAGCCAGCTGCATGCAGCAGATTTCACAATCCCCCCCTATTCCTATCCTCCCCTGTCGTCCGAAGACATTCTAGCGCGCAGGTGGTAGCTAGGCTCCACCATGGCATCTGGGAGGATTCCCAACCTGACGAGTTCCTTTGCTGGAGCTGGCGGCCACAGCATTCGGTCCGCGGCGCACTGGCATCCCTGAAGCCCTGTGGAGACCAGCGGAGAATTGCCCCAAAGGAGGGGCACTTCCGGGCGCCCTGAAGCGGCAGTCGCGCACGAAAAACCGTGCCGTCCCCGAGATAGCGAAACGCCACAGCCACACTTCCCGAGACCGTGCTCAGAGAGGGGAGGTGGATGAGTGGCAGGGGAAGAGGGCGCAGGACAACGGCACAGCGCATTGGGGGAGAACAGAGGACGTCCAGCACGTGCGCCCCGCGCGCCCACGGCGAGGACGACGCAGAGGACCACAACGGCGATGGCCACTTCACATCTCATTAGGGGAACAAAAAGTGACGTAAACATAAAAACTCGGAGGTCCGCGCGGATTTCTCGGATCGGCGCTGGGGCCCCCGAGCGGCGCCTCCGGCGCTCCGCGCGCCAGGGAGGGGGGCCCAGCGCCGATCCGAGAAATCCGCGCGGACCTCCGAGTTTCTATGTTTATGTAATTGTTCGTTCCCCTACTCATGCACACCTGCTCTTATCATGCTGGCTGCCCGCTGTATCTGCTCACTCCTGCGCAGCGCGGGGGCCGCCTCGTCCTGGTCCCGCGCTTGGACGGTGCCCTGCCCGCCCCAGGGGGCGTCCGTCGCGGAGCTGGGCAACGACACGGCATCGGATCGTTTTGCAGCACGCTGCCGCCCAAGTGCGAGCACAGTGTCGATCGACTCCGACGAGCAACGTTGCCTGAACATAACAAGCACACACTTGCACACGTACTTTGCGATTGACTCGCGGTAGCGCTACCGTGTCGGCAGAGTAAGAAGCACGCGTGCGCAACCGCAAGACAGGCAGCTCATTCGACACTGATATCGCGACCAACGCCACACATAATCGTACACGTAAACGTCTTGCTGCCACTGGCAAGATCAGCCCGCCCCCTTGTGGGGCCACCAGGCTGTAGGCCGAAACTTCGCAGTTTCCTGTGCCAGTTGCAGCTTCCAGTTTCCACTGTTACAATTCTGCTTCTTGTTGCTTACTGTTCCTTGTTGATGGACCGCGCGAGGGGGGGAGGCCCAAAACGAGCATTTTTACCACGCCCTGAGCGTATGATAAAAGTTGACACCCCTTACGCAGATCGGCGGGGTCAGGGTCCAAGAAAACATGGGCGGCATTTCTTGAATTCGGTGGCACCCCTCACGCAGATCGGCGGGGTCAGGGTCCAAAAACACAAGGGATTTGCTACATTTCTGAAATTTGCGGCGGGGTCAGGGTCCAAAAACACATGGGATTTGCCACATTTCTGAAATTCGGAGGCATCCCTCACGCAGATCGGCGGGGTCAGGGTCCAAAAACACAACGGATTGCCACATTTTCGAAATTCGCTGGCAACCCTCACGCAGATCGGCGGGGTCAGGGTCCAAAAACACAAGGGATTTGCTACATTTCTGAAATTCGTGGCATCTCTCACGCAGATCGGCGGGGTCAGGGTCCAAAAACACAGGGGATTTGCCACATTTCTGACATTCGGTGGCACCCCTCACGCAGATGCCTTTGGTCAGGGTCCAAAAACACAAGGGATTTGCCACATTTCTGAAATTCGGTGACACCCGTGGCGCAGATCCGTAGGGTCAGGGTCAAAAAACAAACAGGTCCCGACACTGCTTCACGGCGGCGCCCAGACCTCATGATCTAGCTCTTGCATCCCCCGTTATCCGAGACAAGAGGCCGGCGGCATGGGGCGAAGCCCTTACGGATAATGGCTAGCGAGGCCTCTGCGCAGTGTCCCCGTGGAATGGAGGAGGCGGGGGGAAGCGGGGGGAGGAGGGTGGGAAGGAGGGTGGGGAGGAGGAGGAGGAGGAGGAGGAGGAGGAGGAGGAGGAGGAGGAGGAGGAGGAGGAGGAGGAGGAATGCTGATGGTGGTTCTGTGCGTGCCTCAAGAGACTCAACGCGCCTGCCCTCGAGGCGAGGCCCCCTCGCGGACGCTGCCCCGGCCATCTCCTCGGCCGCGCCCAGCCCGCGGCGACGAGGGGGCCTCCCGAGGGCAGGCAGGTATCTGAGCGCGCGAGTCCAGATCGCATGCGTACCAGGTCAGGGTCAGGGCTGTACCTAAACGCTGTTTTTCGTGTTGATTTCGTTTTGTTGTTCGTTTTGCTCTGCCTGTTTTCGTGTACCTCCCTCCCGAAACGAAAAGCAACACAGCCGAAGTACAGCAAAACAGCGTTTGCGTCCAGCCCTGGTCAGGGTCACGCGAAGCTGTTGAGCGGCTGGGTCCTGCTTCTTCGCCACAGAGATAACGGTGCTTCACCGCGAGGCAACGGCATGTGAGCCCTGCCCCCGCAGGCAAGATTTCTGAAACGGCGGCCGGGGTTCAGCGTTCGGAGGGTCTCTGCAGCCGAATGACACCCAGCGGGGTGTCCGATCGCAGTGGAACCGCGAATCCCGCAGTGGTCGGGTGCGCCAGAGGGTGCAGGACCGCGCCATGCGACCCTCCTCTGGCACTCCCAAGATCAGCGAGGCCCCTGCCGAGGTTGAGGTCCCTGGAAGCGCCTGGAGAACCTCTGGCGCCGACCCCGGGTTCTGGCGGCCCCCCGCAGCCCCACGCGATGACTCGGCGGAGGCACGGCAGCAGTCTGGAGGCCTTTGTTTGCAGACTCCCTGGGGGCGTCTGGGGATTCCCTGGATGCCATCGCTCTGTTGACTCGCTCTCGCGACCTCAAGCAATCCGTGCCGTCGTCCTGTGCCGCCCGGCCCCGGCAGGTCTTCTGCTGATGCGTGGACGTCCTGGAAGGCCCCTGGAGGCTCCTGCACAGGGCTCGACCTGCACGGTGTTGTAGCAATCTCGTGGGGACCGTTTTCGTTCTGATCTCGTTTTGAAGCAAAGGCGGCACGAAGACAGAACGAGGGAGAACGATACCAAATCGAAAACGAAAAACAATGTTTAGCTTTAGGTCGGGCATGTCCCCTAAAGGCGGAGTTTGGGCGGAAAAAACATATGTTCGAACACAACACATATTCAAACATGGACGAAGCATCGTCCCCCGACTGTGTTTTACTGATTTTGAATATCTCCCCGGTAGAGGAACAGACCCGACTTAAGTTTGGTTGGGCGCCCGAGTTTCCTGCGGTTATCCGGGGTAACTCGGGTCCGGGGTAACTCGGGTTTGGATTGCCGACAAAGGAACCCGAGTTAGCCCTGACCCGAGTTACCCCTGATGATTCGGGGCTCTGGACGCCCGAACTATCCGGGGTAAGTCGGCTCCGGGGTAAGTCGGGTTCGGATTCCCGAAAAACGAACCCGAGTTAGCCCTGACCCGAGTTACCCCTGATGATTCGGGGCTCTGATTTGGGTGGAGCCCTGCTCCTGCAAGCCCTGTGGAAAAACTTCGCGGAAAAACTTGGGAGGAGGGAGGAGGGAGGAGGGATTTGGGTGGAGCCCTGCTCCTGCAAGCCCTGTGGAAAAACTTCGCGGAAAAACTTGGGAGGAGGGAGGAGGGAGGAGGGAGGAGGGAGAGGGAGGGCTCCTGCAGGCCCTGCGGAAAAACTTCGCAACACCCGACGCCGGCGCCCTGCGGGGCAGCACGGCGCTCTCGAGCCCGCGCGCTCGCGGAGCCCCACGCACGGCCTGCTGGGGGCCCTTATCGGAGCCCCCATGCAGCCTCCTGGGCCCTGGGCACGCCGGAGGACTCTCTGAGGGCCTCTCCTCCTCCCCCTCCTCCTCCTCCTCCCCCTCCTCCTCCTC